ACAGACCTAGGTCCTAGGAGACGCCTAGACTGAGCTCAGGGAGACTCCTATAATCCCCTCCCCCTAATAATAAACCCCCCCACCCCCCTAATAATACATACTCCCCAAATATGGTATACTATAATATATTGGGAATATTCATTATTAGGGGGGTGGGGGGGTTTATTATTAGGGGGAGGGGAGTAGGCCCTTACCATGCTGCATCTCTTGGGAGCTATAGTCTAAAGGGGTTATACTCGAGATTATATAAGCTATAGTCTAAACTCCTTAAAGGGGGTTATATGGGGGATTATATAGGGGAGTATTATAGGGGTTATTAAGGGGGATACTAGGAGTTTAGACAATGGTTCATATAAGGGAGCGTTCTAGGGTTTCAGGTTTAGGGTTAGGGTCTAGGGATTGCAGGGGGGGTATGTAAGGGAGCATTATGCGGATTATTGAGGAGGATGCTCGGAGTTTAGACTATAGCTGTTATGTTGCCATGTTGGGTGGTTGTCAAAATTATGGTCCATTATTGGATCCCTATTATAATACGGCACCTGATATTTAGGGTACCCAAAAGGGGACCATTTTTTTGACAACCACCCGTATGGTGACTTTCTGAGGACTTTCCGAAGCGCTTCGCGTCCGATCTGGCGCTGTCGCGTTCGTGAAGAAACATCAAGGCCGGTCATCTGAGAGGCTCCGCAGACCTATTTGGGGTATACATGGGTTTAGGGTTTAGGGTTGGGGGTTTAGGGTTTAGGGATTAGGGTTAAGGGTTGAGGGTTTAGGGATTAGGGTTACGGGTTTAGGTTTAGGGTATGGCCCCAAGTGTCAAAGTGGCCAACATTCATAATATGCTTCCCAAAAATCTGCACTGCAATTCCCAAATTCCAGGTGTTCAACTATTGGGTACGCGAGTCCGGCCAACAGTACCTAGATTGGAACCCGGTATTGTTCAAAATTATCCTTACGTGAACACCTAGCAAGGACACCCCCCTGTAATCCCCACATAATCCCTATATATCCGTTGCGGTTTCTAGAGGCCCCGCATTTTGAGAAACTCCCATATTGGATCAGTTTCGGGAGGAAGGCCATTGAATGTTCCGTCCGGAGGCCTAGGTGGATCTAGAAAGTAGACCCCCCAATATGGTAACCCGTATTATTATTGCTTACCGGATCTTAGCAGGGAATATGGGAATATAGTCCCTGTATGACCCCTATATAATGTATTCCCTTTTGCCCTACTAAAAACAAGCAAGATTCTGTCCTAAACACTAAACCCTAGACCCCAAACCCTAGACTCCTAGGAACCCTTAAAGGAGATCTATTTTCTAGGTCCTTCCAGGCCTTTGGCTTGTAGTTCTTGGAGACATTGCCTCCACCTCTTTAAAGGCGTTATCCAGTTTAGCGTCTAAGGTTTTGGTTCCAAGTACCCAAATCATTCGGGCCTCTGCTGCCAAAACGCTATAATCTGAATGGTTATTGATACCTAGAACGCTGTTATTTGGGTACTTGGACCCTTCGGGCGTTATGTGGAAGACCTGGCGCTTCAGGTTTAGGGTTGTGCCCCCTAAGCCCTAAACCCTAAGCCCTAAACGCAAGGCTTATTGTTGCTTCGAAGCACGCCGAGCAGACTTGGATTGCATGTTGCTATCGATTTTGAAAAATGCCTCGCGGATTGCAGCGCTGACAACCCCAAGCGAAACAGGCTATCATGGGGTTTAGGGTATATGAGCTATAGTCTAAACTCCTAGTATCCCCCTTAATAACCCCTATAGTAGTCCCCTATATAATCCCCTATATAACCCCCTTTAAGGAGTTTAGACTATAGTTCATATGCTGAGGGCCTAGGAATGCAAACCCATATTACGAGACATGTTTCCATGCAAAACCCTAAGGGTCCAAGGACCCAAATAATAAGGTTTTAGGGCCCAAATACCATTGATATTATGGTATTTGAGCCCTAAAATCCGATTATTTGGGTCCTTGGACCCTTAGGGAAAGTAAGGGATTGTTTGTTTTTGGTTGCTTCAAAGGAGCATGCGATTTTGTAGTGTATATTAAGAACCGCTCACATCGCGCTAGGTCAGCAAAGGTCGATTCTTCTGTTTCATCCTTGAACTATAGGAAGGCGTGTTTTTTGGGAACCCAAAGCAGACCCCAATCTCAGGATATCTTACAGTTATGTACGAACAAACGGCCCCGGAACCCAAGAGATTTATGCACCTGAACTACAATCCAGCATCTAGAAGATTGTGTTGGGTCCTTGGTATTTATCCATAACCTTTGACCCTAAAGCCAGCTTCCCTGTTGCGTGACACAGCTTGGCCCTCATTTTTGATGATGCTGGGGGCGTTCTGATGCTTTCTTGGTAAAACCCAGAGGGTCCTAATATCTAATAAATACGTATTTGGGTTTTTGGGTAATAGGAATTAATTATAGTATATGTTTGGGGAAGTATATGATTATTAGTACTTGGACCCTTAGGGGAAGTTATGATGGATGAGATTGCTGACAAGAACGGCCTACCAGTACTGCCTTGGGAAGAATCGGGGGGGATTCGTCTTTCAGGCCGGGTAAATGATCCAAGTTCTTTGGTCTTGCCCCATGACCATAGCTGTATCTAGCTGACCTCAACCTCAAGCCCCTGCACGCTGGAACCCTAGATTTTGAGTTCAGGCTACACCCCAAAGTCTGACCCCCTAAACCCTAAACCCTACCTGGACCCCAAAAGTATGTAAAATAATGGCCTTTATAGCTGTTGTTATGAGTTTAGGGCCATTATTTTACATACTTTCGAGGGTTTAGGTAAACTCTGAACCCACAACCTCCGAAGTGGTGCTTCCTTTATCGCCGGCCTCATGTTCCAAACTGAAGGGCTGCACGGCTCGTCAACAGAAAGGGAGAAGCAAAGGGCCCCCAAAGGGTTCTGGGATTACCCTGGCCCCAACTGGGTTTAGGGTTTGGCTACTATGAGCGATAGTCTAACTAAACTCCTCTGAGGGGGCTTATGTAGGGGGTTATATGGAGGAGTATTATAGGGCTTGTGAAGGGAGATACGAGGAGTTTGGCCGATAGCTGACATGGGAACTTCAGGGCACATGCTGTTTTTCTTCTGGTGTCCTTATGAGTTTCTATGTTAGTTTGGAGGTCCCCTAAACCCGTAAACCCTAGACGCCAAACACCTGAATCCCTAAACCCCGAAACCCTAGAACAAAGGGAAGGTCTTTTGAGCTAACATCTTGGAAGCAGCGCTCGGCGGATCTTTATGTCGGTCTCTTCCTCTCTGAAAGCCACCAATTGGCTTGTAAGTTGTACTTGGAGGGTCAGGGGGGCTTAGAGAGCATACTTATAACCCTCATACTACCTATAGGCCATAGAATAACCACAAATAGCCCTATTTCTAAACTACTTACGAAGTACCCCTGACCCTCCAAGTAGGCATGCGCACCTGCAAGGTAGGGGAATCATCACATGTTGACTGCCCACCGTAGCCGGGGCTCAAGACTCATACATTCATGATTAGAATTTCAAACCCGTGCCGAGCATAGGTGCTAAGGCATCCGCCCAAAACAGAACGCCCAGGCCCTAAAACCCTAAACCCC